GGCCTGCAGGCGTCCGGAGCCCCCAGCACTGGGCTGGCCAGCAGGGCCCCAGCCGCAGCTGACGCGCCCTCCGAGGCCGACCGCAGGGAGCAAGCGCTGAGCTGTCTCCGGAAGGCCCTTCCCGGGTTCGGGGGCGCTCAGGCGCCAGGCAGGTGCGTGGGGAAGGAGGGCTGGGGTGCCCTGTCGGCACATTGGGGATCCCAGAGGCCAGAGGGGTTGGGATGGTTGCGGTTCTGCACCACCCGGCCGTGTGATGGTGAGGCCTCACCCTCCAGCCTCAGTTTCCTCATCTGGGAGATGGGAGAATGAGACCAGGGAGCCAGAGTGCTTGGCGGGCAGCGGGAGGGGGACACCGCTACCATCTGAGGCTGCCGCCTGCATGCCATTGGGGGTTCCCATGGGGCTCGGTCCTGCTGAGGATCCCTGTTTAACACCCAGGTGTCACCTATCTGACCCCGGAGTTCTGAGCCGCCCGTGCTTTCTGCACACACCGGGGCGGGTGCCATCCTGGGATGGAGGAGGGTCGTGCCAATGTCCCGGGCTGGGCCAGCCAGGCTGGTGTGCGGGCAGTGCTGGAGCCCAGGGTGGGAGATTGAGGTGTCGCAGGGCCCCTCCTTGGCTCTTGGGGCGAGTCCTTCCTGCCTCTTCCAGCTTCTGGTGCCCGGGTGCCCCTTGGCTCGTGGCTGCCTCCTCCCTCTGTGCCTGTCACCACGTCTGTCTCTCTGTCTGTCTGCCTTTCTGTCTCTCATAAGGACGTGGTACTGGACTTAGGGCACCTTAATGCAGGATGACCTCACCCTCACTTGTTCCACTGGCAAAGAGCCTACCCATGCTGGTGGCCAGGAACTGTGGGGACACCCTTCAGCTCACTACTCACCTAGCGAGTAAGGAGATGCCACGCCTGGCTGGCACAGCGCCCACTGCCTCGTGCTGCCCTCTTCCCAGAGCGGCCCATGGCTCCCGGGTGGCCACGGACCAGGAGGGCGAGCGAGGCAGGCCCGGGAGGGCCACGGCTCTGCACAGGTTGGGGAGGGAGGGACAAGGTGCGGCCGCTCCTCGCACACCCCATACCTGGTGTGTTCGGGGGGCATTTTAAACTCATCCCACGCCAGCCTTAAACAGGAGAGTCAGGTCAGACATACGGCAGTGCCGGAGTGTGTCCACGGCCTGTTCCGCCTCCCTGGAGGGGCCTGCCCTCCCCCAGGAGGGTGGGCATTGGAACCAGCCACCGAGGGAGGCTGAGGGGCTTCTGCTAGCATCATGGGAGGGGCTCCTGGATCCACCTGTGCCTGATCCCCGCTCTCGCACCCCCAGGCTCTCCCCAGCCACTGCCTCTGCTTCCAACGGCCTTCCCAGAGCCGAAGGGCCACGAGCAGGTCCATCGGCCAAGCTGCCACAGCCAGCGTCTCCCCCGGCCCTCAGCCCCCCGGCAAGGACTGAGCTGGCAGCCCCCCCGAGCGTGGGCACCACCGCACGGGCATCCACGTCGCCCCAGGCGGGCAGGACGAGCTCAGCGGCATCCTCAGGGGGAAGCCGGGCAGCTGCTGACTCCAGGCTGAAGCCAGAGGCCCCGCTGGCGAAGGGTGAGAGCCCCGCAGTGAGGGTATGGGGCAGGGGGTGGTCCCCCGCACGGACAGTGGCCAGTCGCGGGCTCACTGGACACACTAACCTGTTGGGCAGCGGGGAAGGTGAGGCCCAGAGAGGCGGTGTGAGTCCTCCAGGCTGCAGGCCTGTGCCCGCCTCCCAGCAGTGCTCCTTCCCGGGGCTCTGGCTGCTGGGGCGCCTGTGAGTGGAACGGCTGCAGAGAGATGGTGGGGCCCAGCCTTTCCCACAGACTCTCCCCAGAACCCCCCAATATGTCCCGTCTCTGCCCCCCGCCAGGCCCGAGTGCTGGCTCCCAGAAGGACCAGGTGGACAGGCCGGCAGCATGGAGGAGCCACCTGAAGCCCGTGGCGAAGAAGCAGCCGGCTGAGAGGTGAGGGGCGAGTGGGCGGGCTGGGGGGCTCCTGCGCCTGGACCTGCCCCGTGCCTGTGGGTTTGTGCTCACGGGCCCGAGCCGGAGCCTGTGTCCCAGGTTTGCCCGGGGCCTGGCACATAGTAGGTGCTCAACAAATGCTCCTGAGTAAAAAACACACATCAGCTGATCAACACACCCACAGCAGGGATGTGGGCACATCCCAGCATCGCAGCTGGGCAGCCGAAGCCAGCTCTGCCAAGGGATAGGACAGTTCACACCAGCCTGAGCGGCCACAGCAGCCTGTCCCTGAGTGACAGGGGATGGCTCACACCAGCCCGAGTGACGGGACGGTTCACACCAGCCCGAGTGACAGGGGATGGCTCACACCAGCCCGAGTGACAGGGGATGGTTCACACCAGCCCGAGTGACGGGACGATTCACACCAGCCCGAGTGACAGGGGACGGCTCACACCAGCCCGAGTGACGGGGCGGCTCACACCAGCCCGAGTGACAGGGGACGGTTCACACCAGCCCGAGTGACAGGGGCGGCTCACAGCAGCCCGAGTGACAGGGGACGGTTCACACCAGCCCGAGTGACGGGACAGCTCACACCAGCCCAGGTGACGGGGCCGTGTTCCCATTGGAAAACTGGAAAGGCAGGAAGGTGGGTGGCTGTGTGGGTCCATCAGGGCCCCTGGAATCCTCACTCGGTGAACTGGCCTCAGTGGTTGAGGGACAAGAACACTCAGTGGGCCTGACCCTGGAGTGGGCCGGGGCCCCCCACCTGTGTGTGGCTGTGGGAAGGGGCGGCTCCCACAGACACACCCCAGGCAGGAGGGTCCAGCAGGCGCTTGAGTCCACCCTGGTCTGGGCAGTGGGCCCAGGGTCAGCTGCCCAGGACGGCCTGACCCCCGAGCACGTGCCCCACCTGCAGGGGGTGAGGGGGCACATAGACACACCTGTGCTCTGGGAGGGTCCCAGGAGGCAGGCGCGTCGGCCTCAGCGCACCACGCCCCATGCTCCACACTCCATGCGCAGCCTTCCTCTGGCGGTGTGTGTGCCTCAGGCATGCCTGTGGGCGTGGGGGCACCGCCCCTTTCTCTGCTGACCTCCTGCCTCCCGCCCAGGGCCCCGGAGCTGATGGAGCCGCGGGTCCTAGGGGAGCCGAGGGCAGGGGCTGTGCCCCAGAAGGTCCCTGGGAGTTCCGAGGGGGGCGTCTGCATCACCCTGACCCCAGTGCGGCCCAACAGGACACCGGGCCCTGCTGGCCCCCAGTCCAGCCTCTCAGGTAGTTCCCAGTAGGAAGCCAGGGTCCCAGTGACCTCCCCCACCCCAGCCAGGGGACAGGGTCTAGGGGTCGCCCCTGGGGGCGGTGTCCGGGGCTGGGACTGTGGGCCATGCTGCGGGGAGGGAGAGTGGTCCTGGTGGGCCTTGGTGCATGCACGTGGTGTGTGCATGGGTGAACACACGTGTGCCTGTACACGTGCACGTGTGTGTGTCTATTCCCACCCTCAGTCAGCCCTGCACCCCCTCTTCCCGCCTGGCCTTGAGCGGCCGCTGGCCCCGGGCTGTGCCGAGGATCCTGCCCGCGCTGCTGGACGGGGCTGCCTGGCTGCGCCCGGCAGGGGGAGCTGTG